AATTTATACAACTGATTGAAGCCTGGAGGCTTCGCCTCCCTGCTGCGGTTTCTGCTGTATATACAGCTGGGGTGCAGCAACATTTAGCAATTTCACAGGGTGTCTTAATATATATATATATACATATATATATATATATATATATATATAATACAACTGAGATAGCAGCAGCAGCAGCAGATTGCTGCAGCTGCTGTAGGTAGCTGCTGCTGTTGCAGGTAGCTGCTGCTGCAGCAGCAGGTAGCTGCAACAGCGACACGCCTGGCGCCCGCTGCTACACAGTTAGCTGTTGCTGCTATACAGGCATCTGCATTTGCTGCTGCTGCTGCTGCACAGGCTGCTGTGTTTGCTGCAGCTCGCTGCGGGTGCTTCCCAGCTAGCTACAGCACCCGCGTAGCTAGCTAGCTAGCTAGCTAGCTTTCACCTCCGCCGCAGCTAGCTAAAGCTAGCTAAAGGTTCTTAGCTAGCTGGCTAGCTGCAAAGAATTGGAAACCCACAACAGATCCGTGCAGACAGGAAGCTGCCTGTACACCGCAACCGTTTCTTTTTCTTTCTATTTATTTGCTACTCATTTTAATGCGTTTTAAATATTTAGAGAGAATGCACACAAACAAAACAACGAAGATATTCAGAAAGCCGTGCATGAAAGTCTCAAGAGCTGTCCTTCGCCCTCAAACCCTAAACCCTAAACCCTAAACCCTAAAGGAGTCAGGCGTAAACCTCGGGAGAAGTAAAACCTAAAATGATTTTTTGTCTTTGCGTCTCATATGGCTGCGGTATAATCATTGGGCAGCAACGATGCAGTGCTGCTGCTGCTGCTGCTGCTGCTATTGCTGCTGCTGTTGCTTGTTAATGTACTGCTGCTGCTTATTTTCGCAGCAGCAGTGCATGCAATTATGACTTGTCAACGGAGAGGAGAAGCATTAAAACTCATTGCTGCTGCTGTTGCTGCTGCTGCTGTTGCTGCTGCTGCTGTTCTGGCTGCTGTGCGTCTTGTGATTGGTGCTACTCTTGCTGCTGCTGCTGCTGCTGCTGCTGCTGCTGCTGGTCTTCTGCTGCTGCTGCTGCTGCATCTACTGCTTGCGTTTCAAAATAAAAAAATGTCCCGTCTTCGCCGAAATACCCTCGACAGACGCCTTGGCTGTCGTATGCATAGCCGTGTTCATCATAAACAAACCCATACTCATCAAACTGCAGCTCAACTCCTGCTGCTGTTGCTGCTGCTGCTCCTTCTGCTGCTGCTCCTTCTGCTGCTGCTCCTGCTGATGTTCCGTCTGCTGCTGCTGATACATCTGCTGCTTCTTCTGCTGCTGCAAACGCGTCTGGTAACGCCATTGGTGAGGCGGCTGGTATTACATCCGGTGATTGGGCTGCTGCTGCTGCTGCTGCTGTTCGTGCTGCTGCTGCTTCTGGTGCTGATGCTGGTGATGCTGCTGCTGCTGCACCGTCTGCTTGAGTAGAGTTGGGCTGCTGCTGCTGCGGTTGCACCGTTGCTTCAGGGTCTGCTGCTGCTGTTGCTTGTGAGGCTGGTGCTGCTGCTGCTGGTGGTTGTTGTGCTGTTGCTGCTGCTGCTGCTGGTAGCTGTGCTGCTGCTGCTGCTGCTGCAACTGGGGATCCTTGAAGTTGGTTATTACCTTCTACTGGCTGCTCATTCTGCTGCTGCTGCTGTTGGTGTTGTTGTTGTTGTTGTTGCCCTTGCTGCTGCACTAACTGCTGCTGCTGCGGCTGAACTGGGTGCATTTGCTGCTGCTGCTGCACTTGCTGTTGCTGCAGTGGTAGAGGCGGCATGGATTTCTGCTGCGCTTGCTGCTGCTGCGCTTGCTGCTGCTGCATTTGCTGCTGCAGCTGCATTGCCTGCTGCTGCTGCATTGGCTGCTGCTGCATTGGCTGCTGCTGCGTTGGCAATTGCTGCAGTTGTTGCTGCTGCACCCGCGATTGTTGCTGCATTTGCTGCTGCTGCTGCATTTGCTGTTGGTGCAGAGGCAGTTGCTGCAATGGCAGTTGCAGCACTTGCTGCTGCTGCTGCGTCGGCTGTTGCTGCATTTGCTGCTGCTGTAGTGGTTGTTGCTGCATTGTCTGCTGCTGCAGCATTGTCTGCTGCTGCAGCATTTGCTGCTGCTGTTGCATTTGCTGCTGCTGCTGCTGCGTCATTTGCTGCTGTTGCAGTTGCATTTGCTGCTGCTGCTGCTGCTGCGGCGGCGGCATTTGCTGCTGTTGCAGTTGCATTTGCTGCTGCTGTTGCATCACTGGTCCTTGCTGCACCTGCGGCTCCTGCTGCTGCTGCTGCTGCTGCTGCTGCTGCAGTTGGGTAGTTTCTTCTCTGCTGTCTGCTGCAGCAACATGCATAAGCTTAGAAGCAAGAAGAGTAGCAAAAGCTTGCAGATCTGCATCACAGGGATTAACTCCTTGCTGCTGCATCTGGGGTTCGAAGGCATTTATAACATCGCTTGGAAGAGCGCTTAGCTGCTGCTGTTCGCTTGCTGCAGCAGCAGAACCTAATTCATCATGTCCTTCTACAACTCTGCAGCTAGCAGACGATCTTCTGCTGCGCTCAATCTCTCTTTCTATTAAACTTCTAAACCCTTCAGCAACTGGAGAGACACTCGGCCTTGCTTTCTCATTGCCAACTCGACCATTATTGTCGCTGCTGTTATCTCTCCCTGTGCTGCTCATGCTGCTGCTCCTGCTGCTGCTGCTGCTGCTGCTGCTGCTGCCCAACTCAGCGCGACGACGGCGGCGCTCCTCTCGCCGACGCCTAATTAAAAAAAGCAAAATAAACAAAAAATTAATCTTTAATTCATGCATGCATTAATGCATGCATTAATGCATTTATAATAATATAAATACATGCATGCATAAGTCAATTATAATATATCAATTATTAATGCATGCATTTATCTATTAACGAGCGATGCATGCAGTGCTGCATGCAGTACTGCTGCATGCAGTACTGCTGCATGCAGTGCTGCTGCATGCAGTGCTGCTGCATGCAGTGCTGCTGCATGCAGTGCTGCTGCATTTTGCGAATTGTTTGTTTGTTTGTTTGTTTGTTTGTTTGTCAATGGTTGCCCTTGTTTTAATTTGTTGATTTATTTGTTTGTCTGTCTCTGTTCGTCTGTCTACTTGTTCATTTCGAATTAATTAATTAATTAATTGTTGATTTGTTTTATTGTATATTTGGGGTGTATGCATTACTGCATTTCTTCCTGTTCTTCTTTGGCTTTTCTTTCTGCTTCTTCTTTCGCTTTCTTCTCCATCTCTGCTTTTAATTGTTTTTCTTCTTCTTCTCTTCTTGCAGCTTCAAATAGAGCTTCTCTTTGTATTTCCATCTCTAATTCACGTTGCTGCTGCTCCTCTAGCAGCCGCTGCTGCTCCTCTGTACATACACTCGACAGACAAAACCATCAAATATTCAATGCATGCATTTAATGCATGCATGCATGCATGCATGCATTAAATACTTGCATGCAGGATCTCTTAACGACAGAATAAACCCTAATATAAACCACCTTAAACCCTAAACCCTAAACTCTAAACCACCCTAAACCCTAAACCCTCAACCATAACCCGAAAACCCAAACCCTAAGCCCTAAATCTGAACCCGCAGCTCCCGAACCCTAAACCCTAAACCCTAAACCCTAAACCCTAAACCCTAATTGCGTACCGAGAAGGTTGCGTAGGGGCTGATCATCGTACTGGTAGCAGTCGATGAGTTTAGGGTCTGCTGCTTCACCAGCAATTAGCTTAGCGCTATTATACTGCATTTCTGCTTCTAGTGCTTTTAATGCAGAGACAACCCCAGCAAGCCGCATATCTTTTAACTCCTCTCCGCGGGAGCTGTTCTCTATCTGAGAGCTTTCTTGACGTATACGCTCCCACGTTGAACTGCAAAACACAAACCCTAAACCCTAAACCCGAAACCCTAGAACGCAACAGGCAACCCAGGGTTCGAACCTTTCCAGGAAAAAGGGGTTTAGGGTTTAGAGGGAGAGAATAGACTTAAAGATGCAATGAGTACGATGAAGATCTAAACCCTACTAAACCCTAAACCCCAGCCCCGAACCGACCTGTTTGCCTGCATGACGCAAACCCTCGTGTCTAGGTCCCCAGGGAAGAACCAAGCGAGAATGGAGTAAAAAGGAACGAAGATATTATCTGAAAATAAATAAAGAACGAAGGGCTCGCTGTCTATACACCCCAAAGTGCAGCATCTGACTGACTATACAAACAGCTGCAGCAGAAAAAATAAAGTAAAAAACAAATTATTAAATGCACAAACAAACATGGAAATCAAACACAAATGAAAATATATACAAATACAGAAACGCAAGCAACTCGGCATGCAACACGTCAAAGAAAAGCAACAAACCAATGAAAAAACAACAGAAAAATAGATAATAAATAATGCAGGTGTCTATACACCTGCAACTAAAGCACTCCTTTTATGAATTCAAATGCAGTACTTCGCACTTCAGGTGTACGCTCAACTCACCAATAAAATGAATCATTGTCGCAGCCAAGCAGCTCTCTGTCGGCAGCTGAACGGAAACAAAATGAAAATAAAATAAAAACAAAAATAAAAATGATAATTCAGATGCTGGGGCTGCCACTTCAATCAAACGACAACCTGCCTATACACCCCAATAACTTGCGTGTACACTGCGAAAACCTCCCTATTCACACCCCAGTAAACACTGCCTATACACCAGAATGAGCTGCCTATACACCCCGGTACACTGAGTCTACCACGGAGCGAGCTGCCTATACACCCCAGAAAACACTGCCTATACACCTGATTGAGCTGCCTATACACCGGAATGACCTGCCTATACACCGGAATGAGCTGCCTATACACCCCAGTAAACACTGCCTATACACCGGAATGAGATGCCTATGCACCTCATCAAGCTGCTTATACACCGGAATAACCTGCCTATACACCGTAGCCTGTTAAGTATACACCAGAAGAAGCTGCCTATACACTCGAAAGCAGCTGCAATTAAACAAAAAGCTCACAACTACACTTGGAGCGCTTGGGGGGAGTTTAAATGCCTCATCGAGCGTATTCTGAAAACAGAAGAAGAAATATATCAAATAAAACATTATACTCTTCACAATTAGAATGTTTTGTATTAACCAAATACATATTTATATATGTACAATATGTATATATATATATATATATATATATATATATATATTATATGAATAATATATATGTTATACTTATGTGTATATATCCTCAGGTGATTTAAGTGCTTTAATAAGGGTTTTGTTTTGTTTTAATGCCTGTATTGACTCAATACTAAATATATATATATATATTAATACATACATAAATATAAATATAATGTATATATATATTTATATATGTTTAGATTTATATATTTTATTTGTGAAGCAACAGAAAATGCAAGTGAAAGGAACTTGTTTATTTTCTTTTATTGCTGTTTCTGTTGTATACGCATAACCCTAAACCCTATTTACAACCCTAACCCTAAACCCTAAACCCTAAACCCTAAACCCTTAACCCTAAGCAACTCGCCTGGAAATGCAACTCCAAAACCATCCGCTCACCCCACTTTCGATGCAGCGGGAAATTCGTCAACACCCACGCGTTGTCAGCTGAACGCAAATTCTAAACCCTAAACCCTAAACCCTAAACCCTAAACCCTAAACCCTAAAGCCTAAAGCCTAAAGCCTAAACCCTAAACCCCAGATACAAGACGTAAACCCTTGGCGTCCAGGACACAACAGCAGCAGCAGGGTTAGCTGCAGCAGCACCAGGTGTTGCAGCAGCATGATTTGATGCAGCAGCAGGATTAGCTGGAGGATAAGAATCTTCTGCAGCAGCACCATTTGCTGCAGCAGCAGTATTAGCAGCAGCAGCAGGACTTGCTGCAGCAGCAGCAGGACTTGCTGCAGCAGCAGCAGGACTTGCAGCAGCAGCAGCAGCAGGATTAGCAGCAGCAGCAGCAGCAGCAGGATTAGCAGCAGCAGCAGGAGGAGGAGGAGGAGGAGTAGGATTAGTTATTGGGTTAAGGGTCTGACCTGCTCTCATAAGACAAGCATCTCGGATCTTTTCATCGAGTAGAGTTGCTGGGGTAGTTTGCTCGGCATTATCTTTTTTAATTTGTTCGAGTTCATCGGCTAAAGTAAAATGATAAGAAGGGTCTGTTGCAAGGATAGCCCTGATAATTCTTTGTCGTGCATTTTGGTGTGTATCCGGCGAGAAAGAGTTAAATATATTTATTTCTTGTCTTTGTAACAACTCCATTAGTAAAAAAGAATGATACGACTCTAATACTGCTCTCTCGTTAAATATTATTGCACATAAACTGCGACAACTTATCAAAGACGCATTCCCAACACCCGGGTGCCCGACGTCGTGGCCTAAGGCTGAAATTCACACACTTACACCACACAAACCCTAAACCCTAAACCCTAAACCCTAAACCCTAAACCCTAAAATATGAACCCTAAACCCTAAACCCTAAACCCTAAAATATGAACCGTAAACCCTAAACCATGAACCCTAAACCCTAAACCATGAACCCTAAACCCTAAACCCTAAACCGTAAACCCTAGACCATGAACCCTAAACTATAGACCCTAAACCCTAAGCCCTAAACCCTAAACCCTAAACCCTAAACCACTTGCCTGCAACAACCATCCAGAATTGATCAGCAAAGGAGAACCACCGTTGAAATGAGTAATCCTTGCAAATCAAAGTTATTATCTGCAGCAACAACCCGCACAAACATGCTGTTGCTGCTGCTGCAGCTGCTGTTGCTGTTGCTGTTGCTGCAGTTGTTGTTGTTGTTGCTGCTTCTGCTAAAACTATGTTGGTGAGTTTTATTCTTTAGGGTTTAGGGTTTAGGGTTTACAAGGGACTTGAATTACATGAAGCACGTGAATAAATGAGTAAAAAGAATGTTTAGGGTTTAGGGTTTAGGGTTTAGGGTTTACAAAGGACCTGAGCGACATGAAGTGCATGATTAAATGAATGAAAAGAGTTATTAAAATAATTTGCTTGCAGAGTTAAAATAAATTTTTCTGCTGTCTCCTTCGGCACTTCAAACTCCGCACGTCGCGCCACCCAATGAAACAACTCGCACGCCTGCATGCAAACCCTAAACCCTAAACCCTAAACCCTAAACCCTAAACCCTAAACCCTAAACCCTAAACCCTACCCCGCAAGCCTCAGGCCGTATTGAATCGCTTTGACTGTGTTGGAGGTTTGAATTTAGAGTGGGGCTGCATTCTGTTTTGAGGGTTTAGGGTTTTAGGGTTTGTTCGTGTTGCTGCTGCTGCTGGTGCTGCTGCTGCTGTTGTTGTTGTTGCTGTTGTTTTGCTGCTGCTGCTGCTTTTGGATGCACTGCAGCAGAGGCAGAGGGGATGTGCTTAGTAAATATATAAACAAACAAATAAACAAACAAACAAAACAAAACAAACAAACAAACAAACAAACAAACAAACCAAAAATAAACAAACAAAACAAACAAACAAACAAACAAACAAACAAACAAAAAACAAACAAACAAACAAACAAAAACTAAACAAACAAACAAAAAACAAAAGCAAAGAAAAG